TGGGGGAGTTCGCATTGTATCTGAGATGTGTGTATAAAACATTAGTATTAGAAAATGGCTTTAGCGCAGGATGGGAAACATAGGCCTGGTCCCACAAGGCGACGGAATGTTTACAACTAATGACTGGATGAAAGGATTTTTCTACCTACTGTAATGACAGGCAAAATAGGATTTGCTTTCCCTGAGATGGAGAATAATGGCTATGTTAACTCTGCCTTTCCTTTTTCTTTTTCTCTCTAAATGAAATGCTCTTTTGTAAAGAAAATCACATCTGTTTTCTTTTATGTAGGGGAGCAGAAGGGGAAGAATTTAACTCCTTGATGTTCAGGGGGGTAGGGGATTTTGGTAGATGGCCAGTTGAGGCAACCCTGTTGTCAAGAACCCCTTATTATAAATCATGGCATTTAGGGCCCTGGGAAGATTGTGTATTCTTTTATTCCTAGTTACCATTAAAAGGGATGTGAGAGAAGAAAGAAAGGAATCCAAATGCCTGAAAACATACATTCAGGAGGTTTTTACTTTAGTATTTCAGTTCCTGCACATTAGTATTTCACAAAAGGTATGTATTACTCTACAGATATGTAAAAATTGGAAGACAAACTGTAAGAAGCGCCTCTTTTATTCCCTATGTTCCCCGTTGTTGCCCTTTTAAATTTTGCTTGGAAATTTGAACCCAGATTTTCATAGCTGTGCATGTACAACTGAGTATTCAGATGGATTTATCCATGCAGCTACTGTGACCGTATGCACAACTGCAGTAATTGTGAAGGGAAACAGCTAATTAATTGGATCAGCACACACAGTTATGCTAATTGTATGTATGCTTGTGATAACTCTTAATGCAGTCATGAAAATTTGATGCACATTTTTTTATTCTTTTCAGATAATAGGATTCTAGAAATATTTGAAAGAAAAATATATAAAGGCATGCAAACAATCTGAACCTGTTTTATTTCCATTCTATTCCACAAATATTGTGGGTTCTTAATTTTGTTCTCCAGCTCCTCTGTTCCTCCTGAAATGGAAATAATTCCTAATTTGGATTTATTTCATTACTTTACTGTAATTTAAAAAGGGTATCCGAAAACCTGGCTGGCAGTGGTAACCTAGCAATGATGGGGAAAATTATTGTATATCTCAGAGATTCAGCCAAGAAGTAGCAAGTGAAAAGAAAGATATGAAATTAGATAGATCGGCTTGTCAATGGTTTGTCAGCTAGTGTGCTGAGACCACTGTCTATCATGCTGATCAGTAACTTCTCATTGTTTTCTTGTACTCCCCCGTCTGTCTGATTTTATACTTAGAGTGAAATCTCTTTGTTCTGTGTTTGTACAGTGCCTAGCACAGTGGAGTCCTGGTCCATGACTATGGCTTCTAGGTGCCATGCTAATATAAATAATAATGATGATAATAATTAATAATAATAATAATTGATCATTAATAGATCAAGCACTTTTGATTCTGAATATACTCGTTGGATAGTAGCAAAAACTGGCAATGGCTTTAGGGATCTGCTCAAATTATGTGCACGTTGTAAACCCCTGTGTGAAGTGCCGAGTATCCTGTATTCCCACAGTCATAAATGGGAATTGAAAGCATTCACACTTTGCAGGTAGGGTGACCAGATGTCCCGATTTTATAGGGACTGTCCAGATTTTGGGGTCTTTTTCTTATATAGGCTCCTATGACCCCCCCACCCCCATCCTGATTTTTCACATTTGCTGTCTGGTCACCCTACTTGCAGGATTGGGGGATTAATGCTTCATTGTTGCTTTCACTGTTGCTGTGAGTCCCCACGATAAGAAGCCAGGTGTAATTTGCGGTCACCAGGGATGTATCAGGGAAAGTGACAAATTAGAAGCACACAATACACTCCAATGGATGAACTACCTTAAAAAGAATGTACATCAGTCTGAAATTTATGAGAGTAAAATATCAGAGCTGACAGTCTGTTATCACAGATCTGATCTAGCCTCAAATTTTGGATCTGGAGTTTGAACAGCTGAAAAAGATAGGCAGAGGAGAGGTAAAGGGTTGGTTTCAGGGATTTGATTTGGCCTCTGGTTATTTTCAAAATGTGGATCTGGAACTGGCTTAAGATTCTAGTCAATTGAATCTCTATAATATGCCATTTGGAATGTCTGTTCAGACATGGGGATTATCCTTATTATGGTTTATGCCACCCCACATCTTTTAAGTCCACAAGGAGTGGTATTAAGCAGAGACAAGAAGAGGTACTCAGACCTATGTGTACATATGGCCTTCATACAACAGTAACAAGTTACTATCAATTACAAGAAGTTTCTTTTGTCATTTGATATCATGAATCAGAATTTCTTGATGAGATTCCCAGTGTGTTGCACCACAACTGCAAAGCCAATGGGACTTTCAGAATCACATTCTGCCTTCAAGTTTGGTCCCACAGGGATAATCGCCTGGAAACATACAGCCTGTTTGCAGGGGGTACCTCATGTGCAACTCCATGGAGCTGTCCCAGTTACTTTGGCATGCCCTTTCCCTGACAAGGGGAAGGAAATACATTTATATGTATTCATATGTATTCATAAATACATTTTGTGGGTTTTAGCCCACGAAAGCTTATACCCAAATAAATTTGTTAGTCTCTAAGGTGCCACAAGGACTCCTCATTGTTTTTATTCATAAGAATGGAAGTTTTCTGTAAAAAGAGCATGTTTTTGATAGTCTCCTCTTGATAAAAAATAACTTTTCTGTAAGACAAAGCTGAATCCGGGCAGCTTAGGTTTATGTGGTACCTATTCAAACTCTCTGCATCACATAACCATTCAGCCATGGTCCATAGCTTTGCAAAGTAATCAATATATGAGTATTATCATTTACTATTATAAATATAATGTATGTTATATATTTCTCATCAACTACATCAACTACATCCCTTTATTCAGCTAGGGACAAATCCATCTCACTTTACTAACGTGAATAACACTGAAGCAAGGACTATTTGAGTAATTGAGAGCACAATTTAGTTCTTAAAAGTTATTGATAAGATATATATACATAGGAATGAAATGAGAAAATACAGAGGATGATATAGTATATAGAGGAAATGAGAAAATTAGGGAAAGAATTATCATTGTATAGAAAAAAATTCTATGTAATAAAACTAATAAATTGTGCCATAGTGATCTTTTAATTATATAAAAGGGATAACTTTATAGACACTCTCTAATTGATCAGTAGTGCATACATGACTAATTCCTAATCTGTACACGTATTTAGCACAATTATGCTCCAGTGAATGTATGAGCAAATGGCCAGTTAGCTATCATCTGTGTTCGCGTATCCACTGTGTTTGCACCGGCAATCACAGAAATTGACCAAGCAAAGTAGATGTGCAAATCCATGTGAAATTCTGAAAATATGGGCCTACATCAGAAGTAATAACAAATGTGGGAAGGTGGAATACATATGCATAATATAGTACTTTAACCTAATAACATGACCACTTGCAAGCTTTAGCATAACACCGAAAATTGCTAATGGAGCACCGTGCAGATATTCATGATACAAGCAGTCAGGAATCATGCATAATGGAACAGTGCAACTGCTAACAGCAGATTCACACAAGATAATTTAAACTTGTTTGTATGGAAATGAAGAACTGATCTTTGAAGTGGTCCTTAATGAGATTCTGCTTGATCCTCACTGTATCTGGAGAGAGTGTTCCCTTTTCCTTTTGTATCCAGCTCATGTTTGTGGGGTGCAGAAACAGGATTCATTTAAATTATGAATGCCTATTAGCATCTACACAGTATTAGGTGAGAACTAGGTGTTACCAATATCTCATGAGTGTTTGTGAAATCAGTTTTTAAACTCATACAGGTACATAGACCACTCCTACATAGTGTATGTTATTTAGCTTCCTAATTTGTAAGCATAGCAGAGTCTGTATTTCTTGACCATACAATATAGGAGATTCATAACCTAATCCAAACTTTGTGTGCAATAATATTTTATATATATATATATATATAATTGTTTGTGTGTGTGTGTACACAAAACCAGGAAAAGTAATAGCATCTCTCATGTGTTCTGGTATAGTGCAAAAAATAAGTCTTTTTTTTTCTTTATGGAAACTCCCATTTCCACTTAATGCATTGCATTTCCCAGCACTGCAAAATATTCTTGAGATGGCTTAAAGGTATGTTGTCACTACTATAAAATTATGTATCCTATATGAGTATTGGAAAGTAGACATAATACTGATTCACTATGAAATAGCTCTAGGTACCACCAAGCTCTGAACAGACTTCCATCATAAAATACTGCTGAATCATTAGCAATATCTGAACTTCAACTGCATCTTTGAAAAAAGTCTATCTGATAAGTAAGTTCTTGTTTTTTGTTTTGTTTTGAGGGACAGAGGGGAAGCATCTAGGGTTTATTTGTTATTTAAGCTCATTTCCATGAGGGGCAACACAATTTCTGTTTCCTTGCAGGTTCCCTATGTACTTCTGTCTTCTGGTTCTATCATCAGCCAAACCAACTGAATGTCTTAATATAGCGATAAACCTCAGACCAGCTTGTACACTTATTTTTCAGACTGGAGTTTGAAAGACATACTCTTTTCTGGAACAGTGTCATGAGGGGAAAGAGTCTAGTTTACTGTGAATCATTGGTTGGAGTTCACATAAGGCCACTATAAACTAATACTACTTAGTTAGCTGGCTCCATAAAAAGCACAGTGGAAGCCTTTCTGAATTTCAGAACTGAATGAGATAAATTTAGCATTGGTGTTTTTAATAGAGTATTCGCACTAACGGTAGAGGTCCCATTGGAAGGCTTTCCGCCTCTCTTACATCGTTTAAGAAGCCAGCATTTCTCAGCTCTCAATTTTAACTGCACCATTGGCATTCCCAGCTGCTGTAGAATCAAAATAGCCCATATCCTGTATACTTACCAAGATGCCTGTGATTGATAAACATGGATCTCACTGAAAGAAATTACAATTAAGAACTTACACCTTTCAAAGATTGTTGAAAGCCAGATCCTGAGAGGTGCTGGGTACCAGCAACTTTCATTAAAATGAATCCTCTCAACAGCTCCCCAAATTTGGACCATTGGCTTCAATAGGAGTTGTGGGGACTCAGCAGCAATCGGAATTCTCTCATATCAATTGTGATACCATCGCACACATGTCTATGATTAGGTCTGGCGCATTCTCATCAGCGTGCCCTGCTGGAATAATAGAACCTGTTAGAGGTTTTAAACTCTTTTTTACATCCTAGAAGCAGTTACGTCTAGATTATAATTTCACTCGTGTGCATCTCATCTGAAATCAATCCAACCCATATTCCAATTACACACAAGACCATTTTTTTAAATATGACCTATAATTATATTTAAAGAATTTAAGGAAAATAGATTAACCATTTTCTGTGAGATTAGATCAAAATAATCATGTGAAATAATTTTTTCTGAATATACACATTGGTTTTTAGATGTTTACTTATACTCAATAAATATATATTCTTATATACACACAAAATATTTTAATTAAATGTTCTAATTTCAGAATACTTTCAAACAATATAATTATCAATTGTTTCATAAAATTCTGGCTGTTTTACAATAATTATACTTAGTAACTTCTCATCTTGTATTTACCATCACCCAATGCCAATAGCACTTTAGAGGGTTATATTTTTGGCCAGCCTCCTATTTTGCATGCCCACTTCTGGACTTGCAATCCATTGTGTTTTCGAAGTTGTCTATGCAACTGTTATGCCTGTGAAAAAAGCTTCATCTTCATGCAAACATTACATTGATAAGTATTTAAATGCTCAGTTTGCACACAGTGAGCACCAATGTCAGTGGGAATTCATAACTCTTTGCAGGATTAGGCCTATGAATTGTTGGCACATCCACCGGTGGACACATAATAGCAAAGGAAAAGGGTGAAAATTTAGGTCTCTCTATTTTTGTTTGCCTCATGCAAGTTTTCTTTACGTGTATGGAAACTCTATCAATATCTATTTCCCATTGATACGTACAGAATTTATACACAGTTCTTATTGCTAAAAGGGATCCTGATGAGTTGTATTGAAGAAATATCTCTAACCACATAGATTAGACATCTTTCTGTACATGGTTATTTATTAGGGATATAGGACTGGAGGAGGCCTCCTGGAACATTGAATCCAGTCACCTGCTATCACAGGCAACTCTGCTATACAACCCCATTCATAAATTTATGAGGCTCCATTGAGAAGCTAGTTTGGTTGTTGCCTCTGCCACTCTTATCTGAAGGATGTTCCAGAACCTCGCTCCTGATTACACTTCCCCAACTCTCCACTCCCACTGAATTTTGCACAGTGATGGCAGCATCAAGCCTTTGTGAGAGAGTCAAAGCCAAATGATGATCTTTAGTCACAGGTGTGGATAGAGGGTGTGGGGCCAAGACTCACCACAGACCAGGGAAGGAATGTGCCTTGTTGTTTGTGCTGAGTGGCCCACAGCACTAAGGGACTGGGAAAGCTGCAACATCTTTATGATGAAAAAAGAAGAACAGGAGGACTTGTGGCACCTTAGAGACTAACAAATTTATTAGAGCATAAGCTTTCGTGGACTACAGCCCACTTCTTCGGATGCATATAGAATGGAACATATATTGAGGAGATATATATATATCTTAATAAATTTAAGATAAATTTATTTATCTTAAATTTATTAATAAATTTGTTAATAAATTTGTTAGTCTCTAAGGTGCCACAAGTCCTCCTGTTCTTCTTTTTGCGGATACAGACTAACACGGCTGCTACTCTGAAACCTATCTTTATGATGGTGCAGCCTTCAGCACCCACTCGGGTTGTGTATAGAAGAGATGGGGGAATGGTCCCACGACCTCCCAACCTCATCTTTTCCCTTCCCCTGAGGCAGTCAATATCTAGAGCCCTAGCTCTATTAAAACCAATCTGTGAGATAAGCCTTCATATATCATATGCCTACGGGATGATTATCTGTTAATTTTTGCCTCTGCCTATATATGAGGAATAAAAACTGTATGTTACATGGTAATTAATCTTTTAACTGCCTGTAACTTCTAAATACAGTTACCAAATAATGTGCAGGAACATGTAATTAAGTGTCTGTTCTCCCCTATATACGTGCAGATTTACCTGGATGTCTCTCACTAAGGCTAATGAGTATTTTATATATATAAATCCTCTCATAAAAAGGGGGAAAGAGAACACTTTGTATTTATAACGTGTTGGTCATGTCAGGGGTGACATGCTTACGCATCTGCCCGTTAAAGCAGTAGGAATTGGAGTTGAAGAGCCTGTAAGGTCACTATTCTATTCCAGAGGTGTCAAGCCCGTTCTGTGGCGAGGGCCAAATTACATTTTTAATTATGATCCATGGGCTGGTGCTACATAATTAGGGTCACATGCTAGCCTTGATTCACAGCAACCACCCACTGATGACATTGGGAGGTTTGCATAAAGGTAAAGGGCAGAACAAGACCCTTATGAAGTAACTGAACTTCATGTTAGTAAAGCCTCTGCCACATTTGACATCAGTCAGTGGGAAAAAGAAATTATGCCCAGCACTTGTAGCATGGCAACTATCGCTTCCCCCCCTGTTTAATTGGCCATTTGCAAGCACAGTGGCAGCAGTTGCACACATAAAGGAGAAAGGCAGCTGCAGGAACAAGCATTTGCAGGTTTTAAGGCCCAGAATTTCCAAAGCTCTTTGGCATCTTGTGGGATGAAAGGTGCTATAGAACGCTAAATCCCTGTTGTTCATACTCTGGTTATTTGATTTAGTTTATATTTGGGGCGTCTCCTTTTCAGAAAGTTCTGAGTATTTGTCCTCTAAAAATCAGGCCCCTTTGGAGCATCTTAAATTCACGCTCAAATACTGAAGCAAACAAAATCACTTCTTACATTTGTGTTTTGGGATTTCAGAACAGGCTTGAGGTAGCCACTTCTACAGCTTACACAGAATGGAGAACTTTATAAAAGTTGAGTTCCCAAACAGACTCAGGGGGTGAGGGTATATTGCACCATAAACATGGAGCAACACATGAAAATGGGTGTCAGTACAAAAATCTGTCATACTGCAAGCTCTTGATTCAAGCTTATGTCTTCTAGTTGAACAGTCTGAACGCAATTGACAAGAAGCTGTGGAGAACTGATGTTGCATGAACTTTTTGTTTTGTTTCCAACTGACAGCACTGGCTCTGCACTTCTCAGCCTGTGTGTGTCTGTTTTGCAAAGACGGTCACTTGCTACTTCCTTTCAAATTAGCTTGTGAAATGGTTGGGATAATTTAGGACTTGTACTGCCTGATCATTGGTACAGTTACAACAAATAAAACATTTTAATATGAGCAGTCACTGCATGTTTACTGTATCATATTGCTGGGAGCTGAATGTGTGCCAAATGCTATAACAGAAGGGAGCATATGAACTCCAGAATGATGACACTAATAAGGAAATTACAAAAGGCCCAACAAATGGCATTTGTGTTAAATCAATAATGCTCTGTTTGGTTTTTTTATTCTAATCTTTCTTCAAAAAAAATTATCTTTCCAAACAGTTGGCAATTCCTATTCTTGTTCTTCTTCCTGAACATAATTAAAAACATGTTGTGGCGTCTACTTAAGACATCAACTTTCCCAAGCCTGTCTTGTCCACTGCGTTTTAAACAAAGACACTTGTTTTGGCATTGTGCCCTTAATTAATCATTTGAGGCTTTATTGCTGTGGAAAAAAATGTCTTTGTTTAATGATTCATCACAAGCCCAATTTCTGCAGAACTTAATCAACTACAGGACTAACTTTCTAATCAGCTTAAGTAAAAACAACAACAAAAAGATTGAGGCATTGCTTTCGGTGTATCATGTTGATAAAGAAGTATTGGTTTATGACACACTGTTATCATGGACTATTTCTGATTTAAATCTATAGAGACTAGATTGATCAGTTACCTTTGGAGTTTGATAGAAGGAAATATGTTACTTATTGAAAAAACATGATCTTTGAAGTCTTCACTAAAATCATTCACTGCCAGGTACCATGGAATTCAGTAGCGATTGAATGACACAAGGCAGACCTTTTTGAAGAGTGACTCCAGACGTTGTAGATAAATTTGTAACTTTTAAAGTTCAGTATGACAGAAAAATAATGAAAAACATTTGCTGTATATGGTTTTTGAAAGTGTAGAGATTATTTTTCACCACATTTGCTTTTTCCTAATTTATTTTTATTTCAGGATAATATAACATTCCTCCATTTTACTCTCTTTTGAAATCTCCTATAGGCAACTCTCAAACTCTTTTTTAGGAGTAGCTTTTCATGGTGAATCGATTTAAAATTATTGATTTTCAAGAGGTCAATAGGGGGTTGAATTCTTCACTGTTGATTTATTTTTTCTGAATTAAAGATTAGAGTAAGACAGCCACAAAGGATCCTTTCCATAAAGGATCTCCTATATTGTCCTATGGAAAATATCTTCATTTATACATATATATTACAGTAGCACTTAGTGGCCAAAAATCAAGATCAGGCTTCATTGTGCTACGTGCTGTACAGACTCATTATAGGAGACAGTCCCTGCCCAGAAACTTTACAGTCTAAATAGATGAGACAGACAAAGGATGGATAAAAGTAGTAGTCTCCCCATTTTACAGTCAGGGATCTGAGGCACAGACAGATTAAGTGATTTGGTAGGGTCACTCACAAAGTCTGTAACAGAATTGGGAGTAGAACTCAGGGGTGAAATCCTGTCCCTACTGAAGTCAGAAGCAATACTCCCATTGACTTCGAAGGTGCCAGTATTTCACCCCAGATCTCCTGAATCTCACCACTTCAGTACCTTAACTACAAGACCATTCCTCTCAATATTAGGTTTTATAAGTACATTTGTAAAAATAGTACAAAATTGCCCAATTTCCTATGACATTTGAAAATTATATGATGCAATAAATATAGTGAGTCATGCCATATTTTATATTTTATTTGTCACATATCTTTCATAAATTGTAACATACACATATGTATGTATATTTCATATAACCTTAGAATATTTATAATTATTTTTTTCACGTGGGCTTATGGACTATACTGGATTTATTTTTTGTAGTAGAATTGACTGTTCCCCATTAGGCATTAAAATATCTGAGTAAAGAAGAGAGTTTGATACATATAATTAGACTCCCTGTTCTGTGATGAATTGC